AGGTTGTTTGTTAAACTGTCATGACTAGGTTGCTTGTAATACTGTTACGATTAGATAATTTGTTACACTGTGAGGATGAGGTTGTTTATTACACAGTTAGGGCTAGGTTGCTTGTTATACTGTTTGGACTTGTTTGTTTGTTACACTGTTAGGACTAGGTTGCTTGTTATACTGTTTGGACTAGTTTGTTTGTTACACTGTTAGGACTAGATTGCTTGTCATACTGTTACGACTAGCTGATTTGTTACACTGTGACGACTACATAGCTTATTAAACTAAAATTGGAAGATTATATTAAATGAATATCACCCATGGACCATATTTAATGGGGCCTCAGAAACAAACTTAGTTGTCCTAAAGGCAGGCTTCAGGTGTCCTCTAGGCAGGCGTTCGATGTAATCTGGACAGGCTTAAAGTGGCTTCTGGGCAGACTCGAGGTGGCATCTGGGCAGGTTGTAGGTGGCCTCTCGGCAGGCTATAGGTGGCCTATTGCAGGCTCAAGTTGAACTCTAGGCAAGCTTTAGCTGACTTTGAGGCAGGCTGTAGGTGGCCTCCTGGCTGGCTTTTAATGGCCTAAGAAGGGTCTTTGATCAATTTTAGAACTGGTCTAAAGAGGTCTAAAAAATAGGGTTTAAAGGGCCTTAGTTAAGGGTTTGAGACCAGGTCTTAATGGGGCTTACAGAGAATTGTCAATTTGTAAAGAATGTTTGAAATCCCATAACTTTCAAGAAATAGCAAAAAATCATTACAACTGTACTAAACATCATTACAACTGTACTAAACATCATTACAACTGTAATAAACATCATTACAACTGTACTAAACATCATTACAACTGTACTAAACATCATTACAATTGTACTAAACATCATTACAATTGTACTAAATATCAATAAAACTGTACTAAACATCATTACAACTGTACTTAACATTTCTTAGAGTCTGCAGTGTGGTTGTAAAACATTGAAACACGTATTCCATGCGTTTGAGAACAGATGAATTATAAGACAGACTTTGGTACCAGTAGGCCCAATACATTGAATTTATTCTCTTACAGGTTAATCCAATAGAGCTATGATTATGTTTTTTTTTTATTTCTTAGCCTACGAGTGACAAATGTCTATAACTTTAAATTTGATCATTTCACATGTTAGTCTCTGCCCCTCTCAATGGGCAAATCTCAGAGATTGAATGAGACTGTGTTACGGAAGAGAGATGTCAAGTTTCTACAGAAAGCTGTCAACAGGACGATCACGGAGCTTGTGCAGGTACCCCAGAACAAGACTGTGGTTATGTGTATATAGATCAAAACATTACGATACCGATCTATAGATGGATCAGAACATGATAATACCATTGTGTATATAGATCAGAACATTACGATAACAATGTGAACATAGTTAAGAGCAAGACAATATTAAACTTTACATATATCAGAAAATGACTATACAAATGTGTACGTAGATCATAAAATGACAATACCAATTTGTAAATAGATCCGAACATAGCAATACACATGTTTCCATACATAAGAACATAAAACTACAAATGGGTCCATATTTCAGAACATCACAATACAGTGTGTATATAGATCAGATGTGTACATAGATCAGAAACTGACATCACGGTCCACTTCTATGCCTAGATAGTAGATTACTTTAACGTGTAATCAGATCAGATAGCTTATCATGACTTAAGTATCATGACAAAATTATCATAACTAAGGTATCATTAATTAAGTATCATGATTTAAGTATCGTGACTAAAGTATCGTGACTCAAGTACCATGACAAAAATATCATAGCAAAACTCTCTTTTGTAAAGTATCATGATTAAACTATCCTACTAAAGTATCATCACTAAACTATCCTTACTAAAGTATCATCTCGCTATCATGTTGTTGAAACGTAGTATTATTTCCTCACGACACAAAGTTGTAATAACTCTGCTGATGTCACCCACAGAGGTGTTCCAAGTTGTCATAACTCTGCTGATGTCACCCACAGAGGTGTTCCAAGTTGTCATAACTCTGCTGATGTCACCCACAGAGGTGTTCCAAGTTGTCATAACTCTGCTGATGTCACCCACAGAGGTGTTCATTTCATGGTCTGGTGGACGCCTTTGAACAGGAGCGATGTAAAAAGGAAACATTGGTCAAGAAATTTCATCAGCCGTTGGACTTCAAGGCCACAATTAAAAAGTTGAAGGTCTGTTCTCTGGTTTTGAGTCGTTTCATTCAGATGTTTTAATGTGATCAAGGCTTACAATTACAGGGACTAGGCTTACAATTACAGCGGAAAGGGTTGAAAATTGCAGAGGAAAGGCTTACAATTACAGGGGAAAGGCTTACAATTACAGGGTTAAGGCTTACAATTACAGGGGCAAGGCTTACAATTACAGGGTTAAGGCTTACAATTACAGGGGCAAGGCTTACAATTACAGGGTTAAGGCTTACAATTACAGGGGCAAGGCTTACAATTACAGGGTTAAGGCTTACAATTACAGAGGCAAGGCTTACAATTACAGGGGCAAGGCTTACAATTACAGCGGCAAGACTTACGATTACAGAGGCAAGTCTTAAAATTACAGTGGAAAGGCTTGTAATCAAAAATAGAATATAAGCCGGGTAGGGAAACACTTTAATGGATTGTTAAATGAGATGCAAACACCATGCATTAGCCTTCCCCAAATTATAGTCCCCGGACCGGCAGTGGACCACGAGTCCTACGTTGCAGGTCAACACTTCAGGAAAATTATTATAGTCAAAAAACAAAATATAATGAATACTTCTGGCACCGGCACCTGGTCCAGTAATGGAACGCTGCTCTACATGTCATGCATTTAAGTTCTGAATTAAAATTATTATGAGCATGCTCTACATGGCATGCATTCAAGTTCTAAATAACAATAATTATAAGCATACACTGTGTTACCATTCTAGGCCAGATGTTGAGGATTATCACATCATGCTTCATCTCAGTGGCGTAGTTTGACTAAATGCCACACAGGGTGAACACTAACCCCCACCCCCCAGCACATCTTTTACATAGCCATTAAATATAATTCTCTAGGTTATGAAAGTATGTATGGTGTATTGGTGAGTTCAGTGTAAGAATGTATGTTGTATTGGTAAGTTTGGTGTAAGAATGTATGGTGTATTGGTAATTTCAGTGTAAGAATGTATGGTGTAATGGTGAGTTCAATGAAAGAATATATGGTGTATTGGTAATTTCAATGAAGTATGCATGGTGTATTGGTAAGTTCAATGAAAAAAAGTATGGTGTATTGGTAAGTTCAATGAAAGTATGTATGGTGTATTGGTAAGTTCAATGAAAAAAAAAGTATTGTGTATTGGTAAGTTCAATGAAAGTATGTATGGTGTATTGGTGAGTTCAATGAAAAAAAGTATGGTGTATTGGTAAGTGCAATGAAAGTATGTATGGTGTATTGGCAAGTTAAATGAAAGAACGTATGGTGTATTGGTAAGTTCATGAAAGTATGTATGGTGTATTGGTAAGTTCAATGAAATAAAGTATGGTGTATTGTAAGTTCAATGAAAGAATGTATTGTGTATTAGTAAGTTAAATGAAAGAATGTATGGTGTAATGGTGAGTTCAATGTAAGAATGTATGGTATAATGGTGAGCTCAGTGAAAGAATCTATGGTTTAATGGCGAGTTCAATGAGAGAAGGTATGATGAAATGGTGAGCTCAATGAAAGAATGTATGGTGTAATGGTGAGTTCAATGAAAGAATGTATGGTGTAATGGTGAGTTCAGTAGAGCGCAAAATGAGAATGCCTAATAATTACGTTAAATGAAATTATTAAAAATACTGCAAGTGTGTTTTGTGCGTATGTATTTCTTATGCCTTCTAGAAATAATCTTAATTTAAGTATGATGTGATCAAGCTGTGGTGCGAAAGGTTTTGGGACATTAGAAGATTAATATTATTCAGCAGTGTGAAAAAATGGGGGTTGGCGAACAGGGGGAAAATGGGAGGGGGTTGCACTTATATTGATTCTTAAAAATACCTTTACTAGACCGCATGTGTTGTCAAGTAACTTAAGTAGATGGGAAGTTCAGGCATTGCTAGCGCCATGTCAAGTAACTTAAGCAGATGGGAAGTTCAGGCATTGCCGGCGCCATTTTTATGGCGGAGTTCAACTAGTCTTTAATAAAATGTATTGTAGAAACCACTGCAGTTAAAGTAACATTAATTGTACACGTTAGTCGAGTGTGCTGAATATCAGCTGCCATTTTTAAACAGAGTTATGGAACATCAATCTATTTTTTCCTTATGCTCATAGCGTGTATCAACTTGTACAGTCAAGAACATGAAAAGTGTATATGTGTACACCTTGCGTGTTACTGAGTACATAAATAGCAGTACATACAATTGTTCTTGCTTATCATACATTTGTCATGTATCTAATTTTTATTATATTTCCTCTACCAACAGAACACTACTGTCTCTATTTGCTCTACCAACAGAACACTACTGTCTCTATTTCATCTACCAGCAGAACACTACTGTCTCTATTTCCTCTACCAACAGAACACTACTGTCTCTATTTCATCTACCAGCAGAACACTACTGTCTCTATTTCCTCTACCAACAGAACACTACTGTCTCTATTATCTCTACCAACAGAACACTACTGTCTCTATTTCCTCTACCAACAGAATACTACTGTCTCTATTTCCTCTACCAACAGAACACTACTGTCTCTATTTCCTCTACCAACAGAACACTACTGTCTCTATTTCCTCTACAAACAGAGCACTACTGTCTCTATTTCCTCTACCAACAGAACACTACTTTCTCTATTTCATCTATCAACAGAACACTACTGTCACTATTTCAGCTATCAACAGAACACTAATGTCTCTAGTTCCTCTACCAACAGAACAGTACTGTCCCTATTTCCTCTATCAACAGAACAGTACTGTCCCTATTTCCTCTATTAACAGAACAGTATCGAAGACATTAAAAACAAGACCAAGATGGAGTCCACCCGACTGACCACACTGATATGGCATTACATGAACGAGCTGGAGGAGGTCAGGATCAGGACGGCCCACGAGGTCAAATACATTGAGAAAGAAGGTGACAGGCGAATCCCAACGTCCTCTTGTCGATTTGTCAAATTATATATTAAGGGTTGTATGGTCCATTTGTCATTTGCTATATTAGAGGTGTCCGGTCGATTATCACATTCATCGCTAGGGGCTCCCTGGCCTATTTGTCACATTCTAAGAAAAGAATTTTCGAACAGATCTATTAGACCGGGTGGAGCTTTTAAAATTTATATTAAAGGGGTGGCTAGACATACTGTCCGTGACTATGATGGAACTAGTCACTCCGATTAAACCAATGTTTAGTGAATGGCTAGACATAGTGTCTGGAACTATGATGGAACGGGTCACTCCAAATAAACCTATGTTTAGTGAATGGCTAAACATAATATCTGTAACTATGATGGAACGGGTCACTCCAATTAAACCAATGTTTAGTGAATGGCTAGACATAGTGCCTGTAACTAATGATGGAACAGGTCATTCCAATAAAACTTATTTTTAGTGAATGGTTAGACATAATGTAAGTGGCTGCGACATTTTCCGGAGTCAGTAAAGCTTCGAAAATTGCCTGTTATGAATCAAGATACGACATTTCATGTAATATGTCAAGCAACGAAATTTTCCGAAATGAGTTTAGCTGAGACATTTCCCGTAATTTTTCTAGCTGCCTAATTTCCCTTAATGAGTATAGCTGCGACATTTCCCATAATGAGTGTAACTGCAACATTTACCGTAATGAGTCTAGCTGCGAAATTTCCCTAAATGAGTCTAGCTGCCACATTTGCCGTAATGAGTCTAGCTGCAAACTTTCCCGTAATGAGTCTAACTGCCACATTTCCCGTAATGAGTCTAACTGCCACATTTACCGTAATGAGTCTGACTGCCACATTTCCTGTAATGAGTCTAGCTGCGAACTTTCCCGTAATGAGTCTAACTGCCACCATTCCCATAATGAGCCTAAGTACCACATTTCCCGTAATGAGTCTAGCTGCGGCAGTTTTCAAAGTTTTATAGCCATTTTAATTGTTTCTATAGTATAGTAGTTACTATCCTAATGTCTCATTTTTATTTTAGTTAGTTTACATGTTTTTAATCATTGTAAAGCGCTTAGAGCTTTAAGGTAAGCGTTATATAAAAATGCCTAAATAAATAAATAATGAGCCTAAGTAAGTAGTGTAGTAGGGTCAAATCAATTAGTATTTTGGAGGAGGCTGGGAGGAGTTTCTATTCCAAAGGGGAATAACCCGATAATTACTTTTTTGTAATGGTCTTATAAAAGTGACATCACTTTGCTTTCTGTTGTTGTACGAGTGTAATTATATTGAATTGATTATATTTGTACTGTTGTACAAAGCTATATTTGATTGCTTAATTTGTGCATGCCTAATATTATTGATTTGTAATTAAGTTGATTAATTTTAAAAGTATTTTAAAAAGAAGACAAAAGAGGGATTCGTATTTTATATTAATTTTATTATATCATTCAATGTAATCAATTTAAGTGGTTATCATAGTGTTTTGGGTATATTTTTTTTCTTGTATTTTAATTAGTTTCCTTGTCTATTTTAAGTGATTCTCAAAGTATGGGGGTCATTTTTGGTTGCCTTTTAATAAGTTTTCTTATATTTTTAATTAGTTTTCTTGTATATTTAAAGTGGTTATCACGATGTCGGGGTCGATTTTCTAATAAGTGGTTCTCATTAGGTGTGAATCATAACGATTTTTCTTCTCGTTATTGAATAATTCGGTTGTAACAGGATAACTTTATTGAATTTTATTTATGAGTAATCAAATATTTCTCATTTTCAGGGGGTTCTCAAAGTGTTTTGGTTGTATATTTTCTTGTATTTTAATTAGTTTTTTTGTCTATTGTATATGGTTTGGTAGGCAGGACAAGTGGTTTTAAGCTTCTTCTTGGCAAGTTTGAGGATTGAGTAGGGTCCTAATTAGAGTTATTGTAGTGTGTTGTTTAAATTTTTTTAGGTTTAGTGAGTTATGTTTTGTGCGCATGACAGATGTTTTAAGTTTCTTCTCGTCAATTTTCGATTGAGTGGTTATCATTTTTTTACTTTCTAATAAGTGGTTCTCATTAGGTGTGAATCATAAAGAGTTTTCTTCTCGTTATGGAATAATTCGATTGTAACAGGATAACTTTTTTGAATTTTATTGATGAGTAATCAAATATTTCTAATTTTTAGTGGGTTCTCAAAGTGTTTTGATTGTATACTTTCTTGTATTTTAATTAGTTTTCTTGTATATGTTAAGGTATTCTCAAAATATGGGGGTCATTTTTGGTGGCATTTTAGTAGGTTTTCTTATATTTAAAATCGTTTTCTTATATATTTAAAGTGGTTATCACTATGTCGGGGTCAATTTTCTAATAAGTGGTTCTCATTAGGTGTGAAACATAACGAGTTTTCTTTTGTTATTGAATAATTCGGTTGTAGCAGGATAATTTTGTTGAATTTTATTTTATGAGTAATCAAATATTTCTCATTTTCAGCAGGTTCTCAAAGTGTTTTGATAGTATATTTTCTTGTATTTTAATTAGTTTTCTGTCTATTTAAAGTGGGTATCGCGATGTCGGAGTCGATTTTCTAATAAGTGGTTCTCATTATGTGTGACTCATAACGAGTTTTCTTCTTCTTATTGAATAATTCTGTTGTAACAGGATAAGTTTATTGAATTTTATTTATGAGTAATCAAATATTTCTCATTTTTTTCAGTGGGTTCTCAAAATGTTTTGATAGTATATTTTATTGTATTTTAATTAATTTTCTTGTCTATTTTATATGGTTTGGTAGGCAGGACAGGTGGTTTTAAATTTCTTCTTGGCAAGTTTGAGGACCGAGTTGACTCATAGTCTGCGTTTTTGTAGTGTTTTGTTAAAATTTTTAGGCTTAGTGAGTTATGTTTTGTGCGCATGACAGATGTTTTAAGCTTCTTCTTGACAAGTTTGAGGACCGATTTGACTCATAGTTTGCGTTTTTGTAGTGTGTTGTTTAAATTTTTAGGATTAGTGGGTTATGTTTTGTACGCATGAAAGATGTTTTAAGTTTCTTCTTGTCAATTTTGAGGGGTAGGGTCCTAATTAGCGTTTTTGCAATTTGTTGTTTAACTTTGTAGGCTTGGTGGGTTATATTTTTAATTAGTTTTCTTAATAATACGAGAACCATTGAGTTATATTTTTCCATAGTCTTACAATGCGCCAGCTTGGGTCTTCCAAATCCCAAGGTCTGTTGCTATTAAGTACACATGACCCTTCGACACGTGTGTGAGTAACGTTATCATTTAAACCGGCCAGGGAGTAAACGGGGCGGGCATGGCGTGTAAAAAAAAATCAATTGTGGGGGGGGGGGGGTAGGGGTCGTGGAATGTACGTGCATACCAGCGTTAGTCAGGGGATATGGGGGGTGGGGGTCAATTTTCTAACGAGTGGTTTTCAAAGTATTTTGATTGTATTTTTTTTTCTTATACTTTTTAATAGTTTTCTTGTATATTTTAAGTGGGTCACAAAGTGTTTTGATTGTAATTTTTCTTATATTTTTATTTAGTTTTCTTGTATATTTTAAGTGGGTTTAATTATGTAATTTTTTTTTACTAAGCATCTTTAAAATTCAACCCTACATAATTACAAATAGAGTGCAGAGAACACGGCTAGCCTAGGCTAAGGACACATACCCATTTCTAAGGTTATGTGTAATGACTGTCTTAAAATTAAAACAATAGTGATAAGAAAACTCGCAACTTATACCCGGTTAGCCCAGCTAACATACCATAACACCCCTTTACTGGACAGGTCTAATTTAACGGTTTCCAGAGACGGGGTAGAGCTAGAAAACCGTCAGACTATGGGCAGACACCGGCACGTGAGGCAAAGCTCCCAGGTGTTTTAGTACAAGGGACCTATTGGACTGGGGGAATTAGGGGTGTTACTATAGCAGAAGTCTGTGTATTAACGGCTTAGTGTATTAGAAAGATTTAGACCCCTTTGTTTAGATGAAAATGATCGAGGGTTTAATGGTAGACACAAACATTACACGTGCACAGAGGGGAGGGGGATTGTAAGCGATACGGGAGTAAATAACTTTTAGTGACAAGGGTTCTAAAAATTTTAGGTTGTGATGATTATTAGTAAAGTATATACATCAACACCATGTAGAAAATAACAGGGTGTTATACATTTTAATAGTATTTTTAATTGTCTGATACAAACATAGTTATTTTAAGTCATACATTTTAATAGTTTTATTGATATTATTTTTTTTAAAATGTCGTTTTTTAAAGAATACAGGAGGGCCCTTGTGTTTATACAAACTTTCGTTTGTCCAGCTGCTTGTCTTTGGTCCAGCGGTTGTCTTTTTATACACATGTCTATTGTCAACTCCTAACGTCTTCTTGGATTGATTACATTCGTCAGTTCTTTCATACGTTGAAGCGTCGTACTATTCTCACTATCAATTAACAAACTCAACTCCTTTTCATAATAACTATAACTTTAATATCTAAGTAAATATAATAAACATCCTATCACTCCAAGGTTCCACTCAAGACTGCCGCACGACTAAAACATACGTCACAACACGGCATAGACAATACGTCACGACTCAGCATAAAAATACGTCATAAATACAATGGCGGGAAGAGCGTTCACTAACTATAATAGTCAAGCGCGGGAAAAGCGTTCAATAACTAATGAACATAATATTGAGTCGCAACAATTCCTAATGAACGCTCAACTCGACATATCCCCCCTCTTTCATTTCAGATTTTACTCAGGGAGTGAAATCGTCACTAGACATACAAAATTTACATCAATTACATCAAGAAGAACCCTTCAGCCATATGAATGGTCCTTATCAAAAAACATTATTTAGGTATCACTGAAAATCAAACAGATTTATGATATACAGCAATAAAATAAACAATCCTTCGTACATAATTTTAAATGGAATTCAAGAGTTAAAAATTCATGTACGACAATAAAAATCAGACCATTGTAATTGAATGTCAACATTAATTTTCATTTTTCATACCAATAAAAATAATTATATTTTTATCTCAAAAATCAGGGCAAACACATCAACATCCTTACTGAATTTGAAACTATAACTAAGTTAATCCAAATCATATTATCAAAAAGGTGCATTTTTAAACAAAACCAATGGTCATCACTATAAAAACACAAAACTATCTAACATTAATACAGGTGAGAGATGTCTCACCACAATTTAAGCAGCCTTTATTTGCTCTTAAATAACACAACTACAGATGGCGGGACATATCTTTTGTCCGTGGATTTCACAACTTTATGCTTCAACATGTTTATTATTATTAGAATTATCTCTTCCTGTTCTTTTGACCCGTGGTCATAACTCATGTGAAACCTCAGTTTTACAATACATATTTTTAAATTGTTACAAAATGAAAAACGATTCTCATAAAAAAGAAATTCAAACAAATCAGGAACTTCAAAGAAATCATGGCAACAGTTCATTTTAACAGATTCATTTTGTTTAACAATACAATTAAAAGCCTCACCTCCCAACTCATGGACCTGACAACTCACCTCCTCTTGAAAATCATAAACAAGTGCACCTTTAGAGCTGGCAGCGCTCTCTTTAACACTTTCAACATTGGTTTCCAACTTAATGTTAGAGCACTCCTGGCTCTCAAAATCTGGACAACCTTCACTCACATTACTTGGGAATTTATTTTCATTACAGCTATCTGTAACAATATGTGAATTTGAGCAGCCCTGGCTCACATTTACAGGTGATTCATTATCATTACAGCTATCCGTAACAATATGAAAATCTGAGCAGCCCTGGCTCACATTTGCAGGTGATTCATTATCATTACAGCTATCCGTAACAATATGAAAATCTGAGCAGCCCTGGCTCACACTACCTATTGATTCATCATCAATACAGCTCTCTGTAATACTATAAAATTTTGAGCAACCCTTGCTCATAACAACTTGTGATACATTTTCATTGCAGATCTCTGCAGTAACATCAAAACCTGAGCACACCTGGCTCACATTATCAACTAATTCATATTCATTACCAGTACATATCTCTGTAAAAATATCATTTGAGCAACCTTTGCTCACATTACACAGTGACTCATTTACATCACAATAATTATCAACAACAATTTTCTCTCCTTCCCCCACCTCAGGGATTACACTCACCTCATCAACCTCACACAAAAAATCAACTTCAGGACTTACATTATCTGATGGCTCACCATGAGATACAACAAAAATCATGTCCTCAGACATTAGAACAGGGTTCTCTTTGCTTTCGAGGCAGCCCGTTTCCATACCAACCAATTCATTACATGCTGTTTCACTGGGACACTCCCCCACATACGTCCACCTAAGGTCATTTCCAATGACTTCTACCTTATTAAATTGTGGTCCCCTTTCTTCTTTACATTGGACTTCCTGGTATACACCAACTACTTCAACCTCGTTTTGACCTGAATCTAAAGCTATATCTGTACCCTTTGCCACTGGGGGTATGTCAGCACGGTCAACGTTGTCCCTTTTAACGTTAGCCGACGGATCAATTAACAAATCACTGTCATTTCCATTTAAAAAAATTGAGTCGTCAGCAGAGGCAACAATATCATTTTGTTCCTCAGTATCTTTAACCATGAACCGTGGCTGCGAGGCCGGCTCTTGCCTGGGGTCAGGATCACGAGTATGTCCACCGTTATCCACACATTTGTTTTCACTTACATTAATAGAAACTCTATTAAAATTTTTATAGGGATTCTCACAGTGAATGCTGGCAATGCCATAATATATTTCTTCCCCCTCACTCTCGTCATCGTCACTGTCGCTATAATAATATGCCTGTCTCTTTAAAATAATTTCCCGTCGTTCAGCCTCTAATTCCGCCAGTCTAATTTCTCTATCAAGTTTATCTAGTTCAGATTGTCTCTGAATCTGTTTATCTCTATATATACGTTCTTCCTCTCTCTGTCTATCTATACGTTCTTTCTTTCTCTGTCTATCTATACGTTCTTCCTCTCTCTGTCTATCTATACGTTCTTTCTGTCTGGCTCTAAGTTCTTCCTCTCTCTATGTCTATATATACGTTCATTCTCTCTCTGTCTATTTATACGTTCTTCCTCTCTCTGTCTATTTATACGTTCTTCCTCTCTAGCTCTAAGTTCTTGTACTTCAAACTTAACTCTTATATACTCCTCTAGGTTCTCTCCCGTATAAAGAAGTAACACACCCACATGCCTAATTTCTTCTAAACTCCATTTCCTACTGACATATCCAGCCATAGCAATACAAACTATGGGTGATCATACAATAAACAATAATTAGGTTTAAGGACCAATCGCAGTCTGTTTAAACTAACTCTAGCAAAAATCTAAGTTCTACCCAGGTAAAAAAAATGTTAATACAGAAGTCATAAGAAAATGAATGCCAACAATGTTTTAAACAATAAAAATCCAACTTGCCTGGTTCGTGGAAAGTCCTATAGAATTTAAATATTATTCAAAACACACACTGAGCTTAATTAAGTGTCAATGGTTCTTTACTGTCAATAGTTCTCTCACAAACTTCAATTGTCCTATATGGCGATCTTGGGAAACAGTCATTGAGGTGTGGGTGACCGGGACGGGTCACGGGACATCGGCAGCTCACTGGACAGAACGTAGGCGAATCGCCGACACTGGACAGTTCGTGGATAACTCACCAAAACAGGATCGGGCATAGGAAGCTTGATGCGGGACGGGACGTTGGTGGCTCGTTGAAACAGGACAGGGCGTTGTTAAACTGAGTGACCGGACAGGCCACAGGACTTCACAGCTCACTGGACACGAAGTTGGTAGCTCACTACCGACAGGACGTAGATAACTCGATACAGGGAAATGCGTAGTTAATTCACTGGAACTCAACTGGACGTTGGCGACTTGACGAAGGTCAGGGCTGGGTATTTCACTGGAACTTGACACGAAGTTGGTAGCTCACTACCGAAGGAACGTAGATAACTCGATACGTGGAGGGGCGTAGTTAATTCACTGGAGCTGAACACGAAGTGGGTAGCTCACTACCGACAGGACGTAGATAATTCGATACAGCGATGGGCGTAGTTAATTCACTTGGCTTAATAAAGTGTCAATGGTTCTTTACTGTCAATAGTTCTCTCACAAACTTCAATTGTCCTATATGGCGATCTTGGGAAACAGTCATTGAGGTGTGGGTGACCGGGACGGGTCACGGGACATCGGCAGCTCACTGGACAGAACGTAGGCGAATCGCCGACACTGGACAGTTCGTGGATAACTCACCAAAACAGGATCGGGCATAGGAAGCTTGATGCGGGACGGGACGTTGGTGGCTCGTTGAAACAGGACAGGGCGTTGTTAAACTGAGTGACCGGACAGGCCACAGGACTTCACAGCTCACTGGACACGAAGTTGGTAGCTCACTACCGACAGGACGTAGATAACTCGATACAGGGAAATGCGTAGTTAATTCACTGGAACTCAACTGGACGTTGGCGACTTGACGAAGGTCAGGGCTGGGTATTTCACTGGAACTTGACACGAAGTTGGTAGCTCACTACCGAAGGAACGTAGATAACTCGATACGTGGAGGGGCGTAGTTAATTCACTGGAGCTGAACACGAAGTGGGTAGCTCACTACCGACAGGACGTAGATAATTCGATACAGCGATGGGCGTAGTTAATTCACTGGAACTGAACACGAGGTTAGTAATTTGATAACGGGCAGGACGTAGGTGGTTGATGGAGTTACTGGCGCATGCAACTCACATAAACTTGACACACGGTGGCAGCGGGGTTCCGACATTGAATTACGGGAACATGCGACGATGGTTGTAACTTCACTAAAGTTGAATAGTAAGAAGGTTCTTGTACTTTACCTCAAGTATGAAAATAACGAGGTTCACCAATCCCGGACGAGAAGCCCCCATGTCAACTCCTAACGTCTTCTTGGATTGATTACATTCGTCAGTTCTTTCATACGTTGAAGCGTCGTACTATTCTCACTATCAATTAACAAACTCAACTCCTTTTCATAATAACTATAACTTTAATATCTAAGTAAATATAATAAACATCCTATCACTCCAAGGTTCCACTCAAGACTGCCGCACGACTAAAACATACGTCACAACACGGCATAGACAATACGTCACGACTCAGCATAAAAATACGTCATAAATACAATGGCGGGAAGAGCGTTCACTAACTATAATAGTCAAGCGCGGGAAAAGCGTTCAATAACTAATGAACATAATATTGAGTCGCAACAATTCCTAATGAACGCTCAACTCGACATAGTCTATCCTTTTCACAACAGTGGAAGTCACGCTAATAAATTGTTTTGTCCACCAATACCAAGTTGAATTTCTTCCCGTCTGTTCAAGGGAAGACAAGTCGGATGATCATGAATTAAAGAAAGCTGCAATTTTATACGTAGGTGGCACCCAACACAGTTGCGCTAATATACATAGGTCAAAACTTGTTCGTCCCAATTGAACACACTCAACAATGTTTTTCCTAAATAAATTATAACGTACTGGTGTCGTAATGGTTAAATTAACTTATTGTTAATGAGTTTGGTGTTATCTTGATACAGTGGCCAGGGCACCAAATCCTACAAATACAATAACAGTAAATAAAACAAATTTCCATATCGTTTCATCCAGTTCTCTTTGGTCTGGAAAAAACGCAATGAAACCATCCTGAAAATTAAGAATAATACATATAGTTATAGTATGATCTATGTTTTTTCTTTGTGTCCAACGATAACGTATAATTTCCAGACTGAAAGCCTTGCCTAGGGCGCCTAAACTAGTAATTTGTATTAACTATACTATAGTCTTTAGGTCTACTTAAAACTATAAAAAATAAAATAATTACCCATCCTCCATTGTCGAGAATCCATTTTCCAAGTTTGTTAGCAACATATTTTCCAACAAATAAGGCAAACTTCTTTTGGTAAGGTATGGACCTCGAAGAATAGGATTCATTTATGTTATCAGATTGTTCATTTTTATTATGGTCAATGTAATACTTGACAACTCGTGCAGCAAAGGCATAAACAGCAACAAGCCTTCCCCAGTTTACTTGTCCATCAGCAAAGATTTCATCCGCAACAATAACAAAAGTTGGAAATGCATTTGTTTCATCTGGTTTTAGTCTGTTGACCAGCCCTGTAAAAATTAAATCATGCCGATCTGACAGCTCTTTCACAGTACGCCGTAAGGTGCGACAATATTTATTGCGAGGCTTTTTAGGATTCACTTGATCAAAATTAATAAGTAAATCTCCTGCTATAGACTCTGCCTCACGACAAATTTTATCCAACGGTGAGTTGGAGAATGTCTGGGGACTAGCTTCCATCACGCTTGCAATATCGACTTATAGTGTTATGTATCACTTTTCCACACTTGGAACACAAAAAATTAAGTAAAAACGAAGCGGCTATAAGAAAAAAAGCCACTTTAAAGTTTAAATTTAGATTGTAAGACATTTTAAATCATGGCCCATCTCCTCCACATTAGCAATCAACTTGTCACCGATAAAGACAAAATCTGTTTCTAAGACATCAAGAAAGTATTGAAACGATTGATCCAAACCCGAGTTAAGCAAAATAAGCAAAAATAACTCAGACTGAGTTGTAATATTCCTGTGACTCAAAATGTCCTCCTGCTCAGTGGTGGTAAAAATGCCCCGTTGAACCATACCATTGAGAATGTAACGGGGAGCTAAGTTATCCACAAGAAATGTCCAATTTTTAAGTAGGATTGTTTTATCTGTGTGGTTCATACTGGTTACTCGCCCGCAACAACACGTGTAGTTTGCGCTGAACCTGATAGAATAAATCCAGAGGTTCTCAACCAATGAAGCGGGTCAAATGTTAAACGGTTCTCTCATCTATCCTATAACTCGATTATTTTCTCTTTAGTCTAGTTCACAAAGGGTTCGTATCGCAAAATCAAGTCTCTTTAACTTTGCAACCGTGTGGGACACCGGGATTTTCACAAGTGCAGAAGTCACGAAGGTTACTCTAGCAAACGCTTGGCACAGATGTGCCTTCCCATCTCTACCCCACAGCTCGACTCTAATCCTTTTCCCAACCACCGCTCAACAAAGTACCCTTCCTTTCCCGACCCAACTTTACGAGGGCCATCTTGTTCGTCTCACAGGGACGCTTAAATTTGTTTCCCCACCACACCTTAAAAATGTTTACAAATGCAAACTTTACGACATGTCCAGCTACCACATCATAACACCCCATTTGTGTTTTGTCTTGTTTCTCAACTAACTTTCTGTCTGACTTACCAACTGCGGGGACATCTGGATTTTTTCAAAGGCAGTTTTTAATTTTCTCAAATCAAGTTTTTTAAAGTTCTCAAATTAAACTTTTAATCTTTACCACGCAGTGTTTTAATAGTTACCATGGAACTTTTAATTGTTACCATGCAGTGTCTTAAGTGTTACCATGCAATGTTTTAAGTGTTACCACGCAGTGTTTTAATAGTTACCAGGCAACTTTTAATTGTTACCATGCAGTGTTTTAATCGTTACCAGGCACCCATTTCATTTCATCGACCCACTCAACCTCTTTCCATCCAACATTACCCGTCAAAACTTTACGATGGTCATCTACCATATCACATACCAAGTTAGTGTTTTGTCTTCTCTGACCACAGACATCTGTCTTCGTCTCATCTAACAGATATTCCTACCTCCATCTTTTTTTTTTTTCTGATCATCTCAACTCTTTGAACATCTCTCATGCTACCACAGACAAGTCCACAGTCAAACATTATTAATATGTCCATCATTTTAAAACTGCCTTTGAAAAAATCCAGATGTCCCCGCAGTTGGTAAGTCAGACAGAAAGTTAGTTGAGAAACAAGACAAAACACAAACGGGGTGTTATGATGTGGTAGCTGGACATGTCGTAAAGTTTGCATTTGTAAACATTTTTAAGGTGTGGTGGGGAAACAAATTTAAGCGTCCCTGTGAGACGAACAAGATGGCCCTCGTAAAGTTGGGTCGGGAAAGGGAGGGTACTTTGTTGAGCGGTGGTTGGGAAAAGGATTAGAGTCGAGCTGTGGGGGAGAGATGGGAAGGCACATCTGTGCCAAGCGTTTGCTAGAGTAACCTTCGTGACTTCTGCACTTGTGAAAATCCCGATGTCCCACACGGTTGCAAAGTTAAAGAGACTTGATTTTGCGATACGAACCCTTTGTGAACTAGACTAAAGAGAAAATAATTGAGTTGTAGGATAGATGAGAGAACCGTTTAACATTTGACCCGCTTCATTGGTTGAGAACCTCTGGATTTATTCTATCAGGTTCAGCGCAAACTACACGTGTTGTTGCGGGCGAGTAACCAGTATGAACCACAGAGATAAAACAATCCTACTTAAAAATTGGACATTTCTTGTGGATAACTTAGCTCCCCGTTACATTCTCAATGGTATGGTTCAAGGGGGCATTTTTGCCACCACTGAGCCGGAGGACATTTTGAGTCACAGGAATATTACAACTCAGTCTGAGTTATTTTTGCTGATTTTGCTTAACTCGGGTTTGGATCAATCGTTTCAATACTTTCTTGATGTCTTAGAAACAGATTTTGTCTTTATCCGTGACAAGTTGATTGCTAATGTGGAGGAGATGGGCCATGATTTAAAATGTCTTACAATCTAAATTTAAACTTTAAAGTGGCTTTTTTTCTTATAGCCGCTTCGTTTTTACTTAATTTTTTGTGTTCCAAGTGTGGAAAAGTGATACATAACACTATAAGTCGATATTGCAAGCGTGATGGAAGCTAGTCCCCAGACATTCTCCAACTCACCGTTGGATAAAATTTGTCGTGAGGCAGAGTCTATAGCAGGAGATTTACTTATTAATTTTGATCAAGTGAATCCTAAAAAGCCTCGCAATAAATATTGTCGCACCTTACGGCGTACTGTGAAAGAGCTGTCAGATCGGCATGATTTAATTTTTACAGGGCTGGTCAACAGACTAAAACCAGATGAAACAAATGCATTTCCAACTTTTGTTATTGTTGCGGATGAAATCTTTGCTGATGGACAAGTAAACTGGGGAAGGCTTGTTGCTGTTTATGCCTTTGCTGCACGAGTTGTCAAGTATTACATTGACCATAATAAAAAGGAACAATCTGATAACATAAATGAATCATATTCTTCGAGGTACATACCTTACCAAAAGAAGTTTGCCTTATTTGTTGGAAAATATGTTGCTAACAAACTTGGAAAATGGATTCTCGACAATGGAGGATGGGTAATTATTTTATTTTTTATAGTTTTAAGTAGACCTAAAGACTATAGTATAGTTAATACAAATTACTAGTTTAGGCGCCCTAGGCAAGGCTTTCAGTCTGGAAATTATACGTTATCGTTGGACACAAAGAAAAAACATAGATCATACTATAACTATATGTATTATTCTTAATTTTCAGGATGGTTTCATTGCGTTTTTTCCAGACCAAAGAGAACTGGATGAAACGATATGGAAATTTGTTTTATTTACTGTTATTGTATTTGTAGGATTTGGTGCCCTGGCCACTGTATCAAGATAACACCAAACTCATTAACAATAAGTTAATTTAACCATTACGACACCAGTACGTTATAATTTATTTAGGAAAAACATTGTTGAGTGTGTTCAATTGGGACGAACAAGTTTTGACCTATGTATATTAGCGCAACTGTGTTGGGTGCCACCTACGTATAAAATTGCAGCTTTCTTTAATTCATGATCATCCGACTTGTCTTCCCTTGAACAGACGGGAAGAAATTCAACTTGGTATTGGTGGACAAAACAATTTATTAGCGTGACTTCCACTGTTGTGAAAAGGATAGACATGTGTATAAAAAGACAACCGCTGGACCAAAGACAAGCAGCTGGACAAACGATTGTTTGTATAAACACAAGTGTCCTCCTTTATTCTTTAAAAAACGACATTTTTTAAAAATAATATCAATAAAACTATTAAAATGTATGACTTAAAATAACTATGTTTGTATCGGACAATTAAAAATACTATTAAAATGTATAACACCCTGTTATTTTCTACATGGTGTTGATGTATATACTTTACTAATAATCATCACAACCTAAAATTTTTAGAACCCTTGTCACTAAAAGTCATTTACTCCCGTATCGCTTGCAATCCCCCTCCCCTCTGTGCACGTGTAATGTTTGTGTCTACCCTCAAACCCTCGATCATTTTCATCTAAACAAAGGGGTCTAAATCTTTCTAATACACTAACCAGTTAATACACAGACTTCTGCTATACTAACACCCCTAATTCCCCCAGTCCAATAGGTGAGATCCCTTGTACTAAAACACCTGGGAGCTTTGCCTCCCGTGCCGGTGTCTGCCCATAGTCTGACGGTTTTCTAGCTCTACCCCGTCTCTGGAAACCGTTAAGTTAGAACTGTCCAGTAAAGGGGTGTTATGGTATGTTAGCTGGGCTAACCGGGTATAAGTTGCGAGTTTTCTTATCACTATTTTTTTAATATTAAGACAGTCATGACACATAACCTTAGAAATGGGTATGTGTCCTTAGCCTAGGCTAGCCGGGTTCTCTGCACTCTATTTGTAATTAAGTAGGGTTGACTTTTAAAGATGCTTAGTAAAAAAAAATTACATAATTAAACCCACTTAAAATATACAAGAAAACTAAATAAAAAAAAAAGAAAAATTACAATCAAAACACTTTGTGACCCACTTAAAATATACAAGAAAACTATTAAAAAATATAAGAAAAAAAAATACAATCAAAATACTTTGAAAACCACTCGTTAGAAAATTGACCCCCACTCCCCATATCCCCTGACTAACGCTGGTTTGCGCGTACATTCCACGACCCCTACCCCCCCCCCACTACTTAACTACAGGTGGCCCAATTGATTTTTTTTTACACGCCATGCCCGCCCCGTTTACTCCCTGGCCGGTTTAAATGATAACGTTACTCACACACGTGTCGAAGGGTCATGTGTACTTAATAGCAACAGACCTTGGGATTTGGAAAACCCAAGCTGGCGCACTGTAAGACTATGGAAAAATATAACTCAATGGTTCTCGTATTATTAAGAAAACTAATTAAAAATATAACCCACCCAGCCTACAAAGTTAAACAACAAATTGCAAAAACGCTAATTAGGACCCTACTCGGTCCTCAAAATTGACAAGAAGAAACTTAAAAAATCTTTCATGCGCACAAAACATAACCCACTAATCCTAAAAATTTTAACAAAACACTACAAAAAACGCAAACTATGAGTCAATTCGGTCCTCAAACTTGCCAAGAAGAAGCTTAAAACATCTGTCATGCGCACAAAACATAACTCACTAAGCCTAAAAATTTTAACAAAACACTACAAAAAACGCACACTATGAGTCAACTTGGTCCTCAAACTTGCCAAGAAGAAATTTAAAACCACCTGTCCTGCCTACCAAACCATATACAATAGACAAGACAATTAATTAAAATACAATAAAATATATTATCAAAACATTTTGAGAACCCACTGAAAAAAATGAGAAATATTTGATTACTCATAAATAAAATTCAATAAACTTATCCTGTTACAACAGAATTATTAAATAAGAAGAAGAAAACTCGTTATGAGTCACACATAATGAGAACCACTTATTAGAAAATCGACTCCGACATCGTGATACCCACTTTAAATAGACAAGAAAACTAATTAAAATACAAGAAAACATATTATCAAAAAACTTTGAGAACCTGCTGAAAATGAGAAATATTTGATTACTCATCAAATAAAATTCAACAAAATTATCCTGCTACAACCGAATTATTCAATAACAAAAGAAAACTCGTTATGTTTCACACCTAATGAGAACCACTTATTAGAAAATTGACCCCGACATAGTGATCACCACTTTAAATATGTAAGAAAACGATTTAAAAATATAAGAAAACCTATTAAAAGGCAACCAAAAATGACCCCCATACTTTGAGAATACCTTAAAATATACAAGAAAACTAATTAAAATACAAGAAAGTATACAATCAAAACACTTTGAGAACCCACTAAAAATTAGAAATATTTGATTACTCATCAATAAAATTCAATAAAGTTATCCTGTTACAATCGAATTATTCCATAACGAGAAGAAAACTCTTTATGATTCACACCTAATGAGAACCACTTATTAGAAAGAAAAAAAATGATAACCACTCAATCGAAAATTGACGAGAAGAAACTTAAAACATCTGTCATGCGCACAAAACATAACTCACTAAACCTAAAAAAATTAAACAACACACTACAATAACTCTAATTAGGACCCTACTCGATCCTCAAACTTGCCAAGAAGAAGCTTAAAACCACCTGTCCTGCCTACCAAACCATATACAATAGACAAGAAAACTAATTAAAATACAAGAAAATATACAACCAAAACACTTTGAGAACCCCCTGAAAATGAGAAATATTTGATTACTCATCAATAAAATTCAATAAAGTTATCCTGTTACAACCGAATTATTCCATAACGAGAAGAAACATCGTTATGATTCACACCTAATGAGAACAACTTATTAGAAAATCGACCCCGACATCGTGATAACCACTCTAAATATACAAGAAAACTAATTAAAAATATAAGAAAACCTATTAAAAGGCAACCAAAAATGACCCCCATACTTTGAGAATCACTTAAAATAGACAAGGAAACTAATTAAAATACAAGAAAAAAAATATACCCAAAACACTATGATAACCACTTAAATTGATTACATTGAATGATATAATAAAATTAATATAAAATACGAATCCCTCTTTTGTCTTCTTTTTAAAATAATTTTAAAATTAATCAACTTAATTACAAATCAATAATATTAGGCATGCACAAATTAAGCAATCAAATATAGCCTTGTACAACAGTACAAATATAATCAATTCAATATAATTACACTCGTACAACAACAGAAAGCAAAGGGAGGTCACTTTTATAAGACCATTACAAAAAAAGTAATTATCGGGTTATTCCCCTTTGGAGGAGAACCTCCTCCCAAGTTCCTCCAAAATACTAATTGATTTGACCTTACTACACTACTTAAGTACCACATTTCCCATAATGAGTTTAGCTGCGGCATTTCTCGTAATGAGTCTAGCTGCGAACTTTCCCGTATTGAATCTAACTGCCAATTTTCCCGTAATATGTCTAGATGTGACATTTCCCGTGTGAGTCAAGCTGCGACATTTCATGTAATGTATCAAGCTACGAAATTTCCTGTAATGAGTCTAGCTGCCACAATCTCGGAATGAGTCTAGCTGTGACATTTCCCGTATGAGTCTAGCTGCCACATTTCTCGTAATGAGTCTAGCTGCTCTCTAGATTGTAGCAGTCCTATCCATGGAAATGAAAATCTGAACATGGAATTCTGCTATTCATTTATTATAGTTGGTGAACTAAATCAGTGAACTAAATCAGGGAAAAACACTTTGAAATAAATCAGTGAACTAAATTAGTGAATTAAATCAGTGAACTCGATCAGAGAACTAAATCAGTGAACTAAATCAGTGAACTAAATCAGTGAACTAAATCAGTGAACTAAATCAGTGAACTAAATCAGTGAACTAAATCAGTGAACTAAATCAGTGAACTAAATCAGTGAACTAAATCAGTGAACTAAATCAGTGAACTAAATCAGTGAACTAAATCAGTGAACTAAATCAGTGAACTAAATCAGTGAACTAAATCTGTGAACTAAATATGTGCTTAACTTCGGTACTAACATAAATTTGATGTACACTCTTATTTGCTCTCTAACATAAACAAGAAAATAACTTTCTTTAAAGATGCAGTCAAAGAAAATTGTTTTCTACACTTAACGACGGATTCACCATCAAACGACTTATTGTATCCTAGTGATTCACCATAAAATGAAGTATTGTATCCTAGTGATTCACCATGAAATGACGTATTGTATCCTAGTGATTCACCATCAAATGACGTATTGTATCCTAGTGATTCACCATAAAATGACATATTGTATGCTAGTGATTCACCATAAAATGAAGTATTGTATCCTAGTGATTCACCATGAAATGACGTATTGTATCCTAGGGATTCACCATAAAACGACATTGTTTCCTAGTGATGCATCGACGACTTTGGTCACAGTAGCGTAGCGATTAAGACAACGTCGTCCCGGGCGGCCGGCCTCAAGACATGACCAAACCCTGGCCAATTGACCAAAATATTTTGAGTAGCCTTCCTCTACCTCAGGCAATTCCAGTCTGCCTTGGCATAAATTAAGATCTCGTATGATCTGTTTCGAAAGCCCTCCTCCAATACATTAACCAAGGGGTCACCAAAGTACGGCTCGGGGGCCGTATCCAGCCCACGATGCCGACTGTACTTGAATTTGCTGAATGAAACCTATGGGACACGAAACGTTGTGATGCAATTTAAATTTCAATCTTATGTTTAGAATACTAAGAGATCCTCACACAATCAATGACCTCTTGGCTGCTATACGCCTTAAATTTACCATTTGAATTTTAAATTATTTAATCTATATTTTCTTGTTTACAGCTGACATTTTTTACACTTAAAATCTTACAATATCGTCTCAAAATCGTACAATACAGTATTTTAATAGTAAATAAATCAACATACACTAGATATGCTGAATAAAATAACTAATCACATCGCAGTGCCAAGTGAGATCAATTTAAGCTGGCATCAAAAGAATTTAACTACTAAAAGTAGTTGACCGACGTTTATATTGCAATAAGCGGTCACTATGATTTGTGGACGGCTATTTACCATAGATATTTATTTATACTGATAGGACGTAAAGATCACATTATCACAGCCTGCTACTTGTAAAAATAAAGTTAATGGTGAAATTTAACGTGGTTCAAACTCGATGTCAGATCAGCATAAAACAAGATGTACTTAAATAAAAATTAATACACAAATGAAGACATCATTTAAAAACACCTACTTGGTAACTAAAGATTTTTTTTTTAGGAAAGCTCGTTTAAAAAAGAATCAGTATTATTAAGCCTGTTCCCGAGCATTATAATATTAAAATTTGGTGCGACTTATATCTACGAGGAAAAATTTAAAAGAATGATGTATGTAAAGTCAACACGTCGAGCGAGACTGACTGATAATCATTTGAAAACAATTTTCTTGATTGCATACAGCAATGCCAAACCAAACATTGATGATATCTTGAAAATCCAAACATCATTTCACAAATCTCACTAACCTGTTTTCTTGCTTAGTTTGTTAGATACTATCTTTGACGTAACTACCTGTTTGCTAAAATCGCCCTATCAAATAAATATGATGAATGTCTTTTTTTCTGTTCATTGCAGGCCACTCACCCATGATTAACATGGAACACTAATCTTAGTTTGTTTTTTTTTTCCCCAGAGATTTCCTAATGGCTTGCAATTATTGTACATAATGATTCTACGGCCCGTGCTAAGTCAATATTGTACATAATGATTCTACGGCCCGTGCTAAGTCATTATTGTACATAATGATTCTACGGCCCCTGCTAAGTCATTTTGTTACATAATGATTCTACGGCCCGTGCTAAGTCATTATTGTACATAATGATTCTACGGCCCGTGCTAAGTCATTTTGTTACATAATGATTCTACGGCCCGTGCTAAGTCATTATTGTACATAATGATTCTACGGCCCGTGCTAAGTCATTATTGTACATAATGATTCTACGGCCCGTGCTAAGTCATTATTGTACATAATGATTCTACGGCCCTTGCTAAGTCATTATTGTACATAATGATTCTACGGCCCGTGCTAAGTCATTATTGTACATAATGATTCTACGGCCCATGCTAAGTCATTATTGTACATAATGATTCTACGGCCCTTGCTAAGTCATTATTGTACATAATGATTCTACGGCCCGTGCTAAGTCATTATTGTACATAATGATTCTACAGCCCGTGCTAAGTCATTATTGTACATAATGATTCTACGGCCCGTGCTAAGTCATTTTTGTCCGTAATCGTGCCCGCTGTGAAAAAAGTTGGTGAGCGTTGCATTCACGTAGATCTTTAATCCACAGCCGACGTAAGGATGCAAAGCAGTCGAAAATTCTGGCGAACCACGGACGAGAAGTATGAGGTCAAGAAACGAGACTTGAAGAATCTGATGAGACTGGAGGAAAGATGTCACTCGTCAATGATTGACATTATCAAAGTCAAATCAGCTGTGGCATTGGTACGGCCTTTTTACATGTTGGTACAGGCATACTATCCATTGGTACAGCCTTACTACACATTGGTACAGCCTAACTACACATTGGTACATCCTTACTAAACTTTTGTACATTTATACAATACATTTTACGACCATATACACATTGGTACGGTGAAACTACACATTGGTACAGCCTTACTAATCATTGGTACAGTCTTACTACACATTGGTACATCCTTACTACACATTGGTAATCCTTACTACACATTGGTACAGACTTATTACACATTGGTAGTCTTACTACACATTGGTACATTCTTACTAAACATTGGTACAGCCTTAATACACATTGGTACAGCCTTAATACACATTGGTACAGTCTTACTACACAGTGGTACATCCTTACTATACATTGCTGTAGTCTTACTACACATTGGTAAAGCCTTAAAAGACATTTGTACAAGTCTTGTTACGCATTGGTACAGTCTTACTACACATTGGTTCAACCTTACTACACCTTGGTGCAGCCTTACTACACAATGGTACAGTCTTAAGACACATTGGTACAGCTTGACTACACATTGGTAAAGTATTACTATACATTGGTACATCCTAACTACAGATTTGTAGATTTTTACTACACATTGGTATATCCTAACTACACATTGGTACAGCCTGACTATACATTGGTAAAGTATTACTATACATTGGTACATCCTAACTACAGATTTGTAGATTTTTACTACACATTGGTACATCCTAACTACACATTGGTACAGCTTTACTACACAATGCTACATTTTTACTACACATTGGTACAGTTTAACTACACATTGCTACAGTCTTACTACACATTGGTACAGTCTTAGTTCGTATTCGTAAAGTTTTACACCACATTGGTACATCCTAGCTAAAAATTGGTACATCCTTACTACACAGGGGTACAATCTTATAACACAATGGTACAATCTTACTACACATTGGTAGTCTTACTACATATTAGTACAGCCTTACTACACATTGGTACCAACTTACTAGACATTTATACAGCCTCATTACACATAGGTACAGCCTTACTGCACGTTGGTACAGCCTTACTACACATTGTTATAGCCTTACTACACATGATACAGTTTTACTTCACATTGGTACGTCGTAACTACACATTGGTACAGTCTTACTAAACGTTGGTACAGTCTTACAATACAATTTAGTCTTACTAGACAGTGGTACATCATAACTAAACATTGGTACAGACTTACTTAACATTGGTGCTTTCTTACTACACATTGCTATAGCCTTACTACATATTTTTAAAGCCTTACTACACATTTGCATAGACTTCCTACATATTGGTTAAGCCTTACTATACATTGGTACAGCCTTACTACATACCGGTTTAGCCTTACTATACATTGGTACAACATTACTACACATTGGTACAGCCCTAATACACAGTCGTACAACCTAATAAAATTTGGTTTCACGTTACTACACATTGGTACAGCCTTACTACAATTGGTAAAGCCTTAATACACATTGGTATAGCCTTAGTACACACTGGACCAGTCTTACTACACATTGGTAAAACCTTACTACAAATTGGAACAGCCTTAGTTCACATTGGTATAGCCTTACTATACATAGGTACATCATTACTAAACATGGTATAGCCTTACTACACATTGGTACAGCCTTACTACACATTGATAAAGCCTTACTACACATTGGTACAGCCTTACTACACATTTACAACCTTACTACACATAGGTAGACTTATCACACTTTAGTACAGTCTTACTACACATTGGTACAGCTTTACTACACATTGATACAGTCTTACTACACTTTGGTACAGCTTTACAACACAATGCTAAATTCTTACTACACATTGGTACAGTCTTACTGCACATTGGTACAGTCTTATTACACATTGGTAGAGCTTTACTACACATTGGTACATTCTATCTACACATTGGTACAGACTTACTATACTTTGGTACATCCATCCTACTAATTGGTACAGCCTTACTCGACACTGGCACATCCTTACTGTAAATTGGTACAGCAAATAATTACATTGGTAGTCTTACTACAAATTGGTACAGTCTTAGTACACATTGGTACAGCCTTACTAGACATTTATACAGCCTTATTACACATAGATACAGCCTTACTGCACGTTTGTACAGCCTTACTACAAATTGAAACAGTCTTAATACATATTAGTACAGTCTTACTACACATTGTTACAATCTTACTACACATTGGTACATCCTAACTACACATTAAAGCAGTCTTACTACACCTTGGTATAGCCTTAATACAAATTGGTACAGTCTTATTGCATATTGGTACAGTCTAACTACACATTTTTAGTATTACTACACATCTGTTACAACTTACTACACATTGGTACATCCTTACTACACATTGGTACAATTTGACTACACATTGCTACAGTCTTACTACACATTGGTACATTCTTACTACACATTGGTACAACCTTACTAAACATTGGTACAGTCTTTCTACACATTGGTAAGTCTTACTACACATTGGTAAAGTCTAACTACACATTTGTAGTCTTACTACTTTTTTTTGCCTTACTACACATTGGTACAGTCTTCCTACACACTGGTACATCCATAGTAAGTACACATTTATACATCCTTACTACACATTGGTACAGTTTTACTACACATCAGTACAGCCTAACTACACATTGGTACAGCCTAACTACACATTGGTACAGTCTTAATACACATTTTAAAGCCTTAGTACACTTTGGTACAATCTAACTACACATTGGTAGTCTTAATAAACATTGGTACATCCTTACCACACATTGTTACAGCCTTCCTACACATTAGTACAGCCTTACTACTAATTGGTACCTTCTTACTGCACATTGGTACAACCTTACCACACATTGGTACATTCTTAATACACATAGGTACATTCTTAGTACACATTGGTAGTCTTACTACACATTGGTACAGCCTTACTACACATTGGTACAGCCTTACTACACATTGGTACAGCCTTAGTACACATTGGTACAGCCTTACTACACATTTGTACAGCCTTACTACACATTGGTACAGCCTTAGTACACATTGGTACAGCCTTACTACACATTGGTACAGCCTAACTACACATTGGTACATCCTTACCACACATTGGTACAGCCGTAGTACGCCAAAAAGCGTGTGATAGAATTTTGTTGATAAAAATAATGGTTTTCAGAGTGGGGTTTGGCTTAAAAATGAATCAATTTCATATGGCAACAAAACTCTAGCTACGCCTTTGCAAGTGGGGTGGTTGGGTGGTCAGCCCTGGTTTCACTTTTATTTATATAGAGGGGCGGGAATTTATGATAAATTAGAAATTGTATCATTAAATGGAGCGTGGTATAAATCTAGGGCTGGCACTAAATTTAGCCACTCCACTAGTCTGTGTATCTATCAGCACTAACACCAGCTACTCCACTAGGAGTTATTAATAAGTGTTAAATAACAAGTGCTAACAAAAAAGTGCTAACTAACAAGTGCTTACTAGGAAGTTCTTACTAGGAAGTGCTAACTAAAAAGTGCTAACTAACAAGTGCTTACTAACTAATTTAAGAAAATCAGCGAACACCGAGCCGAGGCTCATATGGTCCTCCCCAACGCACCACCCCGCCTACCAAATCGGCCGTCAACCACTCCCCCAGTGGTCTTTATTTCGATCGGGCCGTGAAGCGGCACGCCGGGGATATTCCGCCCCTAAGACCGCCACGCCCGACCTCCACTCGACTGGCCGCTGAGCGTGGCAGCCCCAGAGAAGAAACACCTGGCCAGCCGGGCTGTTGCTCACGCAGCAACAGGGCCGGACTTTCTAGGGGTTGGGGTGGATATATTTAACGTCTCTAAAGTCCCCCTTACCACCCCGGGGGGACCGCGTAGTTGTTTAGACCGACGCCCTCTACTAGGGTTTGTATGGTTATTCTACGGCGCAACTAATTCACACCGTAGATGGGAGAGAGAGGTTGCCTGGGAGCAGTACCCTCAAGACTGCATATATAGAATCATCGGTGAAAGGCTGCCACACACCTTCACCTCATATCCATACGGCAACTGTAATCATGTCCCAACATGTTTCTGCGTTTAGTAAAATAATTCGACTGCACTTGGTGGGAAGCCATGCAGTCGTGCTCGCTCTAACGCAGTCTCCGTGCGTTACCCCTGCCTTGCGGCACAGGTCCCCTTTACGGTGGTAATGTCACTAGGGTAACGTTCCAGGGGTTGTGGCCGAACGCCTCTTGGTCGACATGTTATTTAAGAGCATGCCGGCTAGAGCCCTAGCGGGAACAACAAGTGCTTACTAAGAAGTTCGAACTAACAAATGCTAACTAACAAAGAGTTTACTAAGAAGTGCTAACCAACATGTGGTTGCTAAAAAACGCTTACTATCAATCGAGTTCTAACAAAGAGCTTATTAACACGTGCTAACTAACAAGTGCTAACTAACAAGTGCTAACTAATAAGTGCAAACTACAAATGCTAACTAACAAAGTGCTTACTAACAAGTGTTATCTAATTAAGTGCCAACTAATAAGTGCTATCTAACAAAGAATTTACCAAGAAGTGCTAATTAACAAGTGATATCTAAAACTATCAAACTATCTAAAAAAACAGCCTTCTAACAAGTTTTAACTAACAAGTGCTAGAGCCTCAAGTAAGGTAAATCCGGCCCCCACAGTAGTCATCTTTAGTCATACAATTTCCTGCTCATAATTTATTAACGCTGAAATTTCAAACCATATTTAGCTTGAACGATACAGTGTGTCACCAAGATAGTGCACCATATTAACATAGAGCACCATATTAACATAGAGCTCAATATTAACATAGAGCACCATATTAACATAGAGCATCATATTAACATAGTGCAACCATATAAACATAATGCACAATATATAACCATATAAACATTGCACCTTATTACCATGGTGCACCATATAATCATAGGGCACACAAATGACATAGTGTACCATTTTAACATAGTGCACTAAATTAACATTGTTGATCACCTTAAAAAGTATGTCATTCTTATTTCCCTGACAAACTGTCGTATCGATAGTAAGAAGTAATTAATTGCAATTGTCATAAATTATAACTGTATCGATCCTTCCCGTCTTTAGCGTTAAATATCATCTCCAAATGTAGGCACCTATTCTGTCAAAAGAATCATATCTTCTACATTAACATCTCTAGAGACAACTACCCATAGAATCATATCTTCTACATTAACATCTCTAGAGACAGCTACCCATAGATTCATAGCTTCTACATTAACATCTCTAGAGACAGCTACCCATAGAATCATATCGTCTACATTAACATCTCTAGAGACAGAAACCCATAGAATCATATCTTTTACATTAGCATCTCTAGAGACAGCTACCCATAGAATAGTATCTTTTACATTAACATCTCTAGAGACAGCTACTCATAGAATCATATCTTTTACATTAGCATCTCTAGAGACAGCTACCCATAGAATCATATCTTTTACATTAACATCTCTAGAGACATCGGCATCCTTCCGTCTCGTGAGACGATGGTGCATCACCGTTTGGTTGGGTTGCATTTTCTCGAGTGGCTGTGCAGTCGTATCCTTGAGTGACAGTCTTTACCACAGTTTTTGCACACGAGTTCCGTGCTTCTAAATGTTTTGGCCTTTCTCCTAGCTCTTCTGTCTGCAGCCTCTTCCATTCTTCGCTCCTCGGCTACCATGACGCCCTCTTTGACAACTGTGCGCCACGTAGATCGGTCTTTTGCCTTACACTCCCAGTCACTTGTATGTATTTTGGCTGCTTTCATGTCCCTTTGACAGACATCTTTAAATCGCAGACGTGGGCGACCTGTTTTCCTCTTTCCCGAAGCAAGTTCACCATATAGGAGGTCTTTCGGAATGCGGCCGGGACTCATTCTTTTAACATGACCTAGCCATCTCAGGCGTCTTTCACTAAGGATTGTGAACATGCTTTGGGTATTCGCACGCATTAGGACCTCACTATTAGTCACTTTTTCTTGCCATTTAATACCAAGGATGCGACGCAGGCATCTCATATGGAAGCTATTAAGCTTGCGCTCTTGGGATGTATAGGTGGTCCATGTCTCGCTCCCGTATAGTAGTGTACTGATGACACAAGCTCGATAGACGCACAGTTTGGTTTTCTCCGTTAGCTTGGTGTTTTGCCAGACCCGTTTATTTAGCTTAGCCATTGTGGCAGCTGCCTTGCCGATTCTGCTGTTAATTTCTTCTTCAATGGACAGTGTGTTGGAGACCTTGGACCCCAAGTAGGTGAAGCTGTCCACAACCTCCAAGTTTTCGTTATCGATTTTTATGTTAGGTGGAGGTTGAGTGTCTTGGGCCATGATGTTTATCTTTTTCAAGCTGATTTGCAGACCAAATTCTTTGCAGGCATTGGAGAAGCTTGACACGAGTTGTTGCAAACCAGTTTCTGTGTGTGCTGTTAGAGCCGCATCATCCGCAAATAGTAGCTCGCGAATCAGGACATCTGTCGTTTTGTCTGTCTAGAGACAGCTACCCATAGAATCATATCTTCTACATTAACATCTCTAGAGACAGCTACCCATAGAATCATATCTTCTACATTAACATCTCTAGAGACAGCTACCCATAGAATCATATCTACTACATTAACATCTCTAGAGAAAGCTACCCATAGAATCATATCTTCTACATTAACATCTCTAGAGACAGCAACCCATAGAATCATATCTTCTACATTAGCATCTCTAGAGACAGCTACCCTTAGAATCATATAAACTACATTAACATCTCTAGAGACAGCTACCCATAGAATCATATCTTTTACATTAACATCTCTAGAGACAGCTAGCCATAGAATCATATCTACTACATTAACATCTCTAGAGACAGCTACCCATAGAATCATATCTTTTACATTAACATCTCAAGAGACAGCTACCCATAGAATCATATCTACTACATTAACATCTCTAGAGACAGCTACCCATAGAATCATATCTACTACATAAACATCTCTAGAGACAGCTACTCATAGAATCATATCTTCTACATTAACATCACAGAATCATTTATACTACATTAACATCTCTGGGGACAATTATTCCATAGAACGAAAGCATTGCTAAAAGAAGCTGAATTCAGCCATTTTTCATTTAGGAACAACTCAACTTTTGGACAGATAAGTATGAAAGTGACAAAGAGCAGATTGTGGCAGAGTTGGACATATTAAAAGAGAAGAGACAAGTTGGACTGGACAGAATGGAGGTCATCGATTTTCTCACCAAACAGTATCTGCCAATCGTGGAGGACCACAGGTCAGCATCGGGGGTGTAAGGTGATGGATGTTGAAATGAATGTGTTCGATTGTTCATGTACATGTGGTGGGATGTTTATATGAATGTTTTCTGTTGCATGTGATGGAATGTTTCCATGATTGTGTTCTGTTGTTCCTATACATTTGGTGGGATGTTTACATAAATGTAATCTGTTGTTCCTATATATTTGGTGGGATGTTTACATAAATGTAATCTGTTGTTCCTATATATTTCGTGGGATGTTTACATAAATGTAATATGTTGTTCCTATATATTTGGTGGGATGTTTACATAAATGTAATCTGTTGTTCCTGTACATTAGGTGGGATGTTGATTTAGTGTGTTTTAATATCGCTACATGTGGGATTGATGTTGATATAAGTGTATTGCTATGATACTTTAAGTGTTTTAATATTAATATAAGTGTACTGCCATGATACAATAAGTGTTCTAAAGTTGATATAAGTGTATTGCTATGATACTATAAGTGTTCTAATGTTGATTTAAGTGTATTTTCTATGATACAATAAGTGTTCTAATGTTGATATAAGTGTATTGCTATGATACAATAAGTGTTCTAATGTTGATATAAGTGTATTTGCTATGATAAAAGAAGTGTTCTAATGTTGATATAAGTGTATTGCTATGATACTATGAGTGTTCTAATGTTGATATAAGTGTACTGCCATGATACAATAAGTGTTCTAAAGTTGATATAAGTGTATAGCTATGATACTATAAGTCTTCTTATGTTGATATAAGTGTATTGCTATGATACTATAAGTGTTCTAATTGTGTTCATCTGACTGATAATATATTAGTGAGGAGTATCTCTCGTATGGGATCTCCTCTTGGCACTCTGTCTAGGTATACGATACTTAAGCCAGATTAACACACATACATAATAACCTATCTATATACATATAGTATAGATTGAAACGAAGTCTCTGGTAAAGGAGAAATATTTATGGGTATTTATTGAATAATAATATTTACAAAATCCACCTTGATGCACTCCTGGTGCTGAACATATACATCAAATGGATTTCATCCAATTAGAAAGATATAATAATGCAAAGCAAGTGTCCCTAACATACAAACGGTTTCATAATTATTACTGCTATATTGCTCAAGTTCTATACTCAATCCTTGTTGACTTAACCTTTATAATTCCGATGCTGATCTCGGTGAATCACACAGTGTATGAGTTCCTTCAGTTCTAGTAGCGTGTCCCTGTTCCGGTCTTCGGAGCTGTTCAGATCGTAGCGAAGTCGGAGTTCCCTGTCGTAGTTTCTTTGGATGTCTGCGAGGGGAAGATGACTCTCCCACGATATATCGTTGTAGTGAGAGTCCCTGGATCTCGAAGTCCTAGCTGTCAGGTAGTTTGGTGTAGGATGTAGATCAATCCCCTAGTTTCAGCTTCAAGGTAAGTCGGTCCAGTAATAGAAACCAGGCTAAAGGCAAAATGGTACAAAAATGGATAAGTATCCAGGCGAATATCCATAAGCTGATAAGTCCCGTTCCAACAGCAACGAATTGAGATCGATGTATGGAAGTTGACGTAGCTTGTGCATATATATCCAATTTGTGAATGGAATTATAAGTCTTGTCATTTTCGGTGAGAGGATATGTTGCATCGCCACAATGTTGGACTAAGCAAACATTTTAATTAATGAAGCATGGGACGTAGAATAATTATCAATGATTAAATTTACATGTGCATAGTATACATATTGTCTTCTCATTAAAAGAGACATGGGCGAGTTGGGACAACAACCTACCATCCCCATGATGGGATGGCGGCGTGTCGTAGCCCACGGCAAAAGTAATAGAAGAATTCATAATACCAATATAATGTAATATAGGCATTACTAGAATAAGATCAAACACGATCGAATATTTGCTAAATAGCGAATGAACAATACAAGTGCAATATCATAATATCACAATTATGGTTGCGTACTTACTAATACTCTAGGTAGCAGTTGCAGTTAAGTATCACGCTAGTGAAGTACTAAGTCTAGTCACTTCAAGCGTCCACAATCAAGTGATCAGGTCATATACTTGCTAATATCCTAGGTTGCAGTTATGTATCACGCTAAAGAAGTTCTAAGTCTAGATCCTTCCAGCGTCCACGGTCAAGTGATCGGATCGTAAAAGAAAGATTCTTGCTTGTTCAGTCTATTTATTCGAGTTGGGTGACGATTAGGTGATGATTCAATTGGGTGATTTCAATGGTGTATGTTTTTCCATCCCCTGAAATTCACTTTCGATGTTGCGGGTTTGACCTTCTACTCTCAAAGTTTATCGGGCTGAGGTGAAAATCCAAATCTCGCTTTGGCGTGAGGTTTCTAGTTTAGAAATGCACTAACAAAAAGGGACGTTACTTCGCTTTGCTGTCTCCAGGGCAATACTGGGGGGCTGTAGGGTATTAATTTCTCAAGGTTCATCAGTGAGAAGTTTTGAACACAGAAAGCACGGTTTTTGGGATAAGCGGACGTGAGTAGAAATGTGATAACACAAAGGGAACTCACGCGGGCTATGGGACTGCGGGGCAAAACATAGGGAGGGAATGGTAGTATATTGCAAGGTTTGTCAAGAGCGCAGTTTACGGGGGAATTTATAAAGTCCAGCTTCAGATCGTCACAATAATGTTGATATAAGTGTATTGCTATGATATTATACGTGTTCTAATGTTGATATAAGTGTATTGCTATGATACTATAAGTGTTCTAATAATGATATAAGTGTATTGCTATGATACTATAAGTGTTCTAATGTTGATATAAGTGTATTGCTATGATACTATAAGTGTTCTAATGTTGATATAAGTGTATTGCTATGCTACAATAAGTGTTTTAATGTTGATATAAGTGTATTGCTATGATACAATAAGTGTTCTAATGTTGATATAAGTGTATTGCTATGATACTATAAGTGTTCTAATGCTGATATAAGTGTATTGCTATGATACTATAAATGTTCTAATGTTGATATAAGTGCATTGCTATGATACTATAAGTGTTCTAATGTTGATATAAGTGTTTTGCTATGATACAATAAGTGTTCTAATGTTGATATAAGTGTATTGCTATGATACTATAAGTGTTCTAATGTTGATATAAGTGTATTGCTATGATACTATAAGTGTTCTAATGTTGATATAAGTGTATTGCTATGATACTATAAGTGTTCTAATGTTGATATAAGAGTATTTTGATGGTACTATAAGTGTTCTAATGTTGATATTTTTAGTTTTCCATGTTGATATATGTGTGTTCTCATGTTGATATGCGTCTTCCGAACTTGATATTTGTGTATTTTGACTTTGATTAATGTTTGTTGCGATGTTGATAGTGTGTTGTGATGTTGATATATGTGTGCTTTGTACTTAAATGTGAATGTTAGATGTTCTTGGGTGTTTAGGTAATGCGTTAGATTATATACAGTAAGGTTATGGAAATCTTAAAGTATTATAAGGATTGTAGATTGTGTGTAAAGCCATAGCCTGCTTATATGAAAGATGCAGTTTTTGAGTACTGTAAAATACTATTAACAATAGGTTTATAAAAAAATTGACGTCATCAATCCTTCTCTCCTAAAATGACATCAAATCTCACTTAAATTGAACTTCTTTCCTAACATGATGTCATAAAATCTTCGCGTGTATCATGACGTCACTAAAGCTTCTCGCTCAACATGACGTCATGAATCCTTCTATTTAACATGACGTAATTAATCATTTTTTCTTCGCGTTACGTCACCAAACCTTCACACTGGCTTATTTCCCCAGGCGCGTGAAGAACATAGCCGAGACCCGGCAGGCGCTCCAAGAGAAGCAGAACAAGAAAGCCACCCTGCTGCAGGCCTGGTGGCGAGGCACGATGGTCAGGCGGCAGTTCGGCCCGTTCCACCCGAAGTACCGTGGCGTCGTGAGGCCCATATGCAAGATGCCCAAAATAGACATCAACACTCTGATCGGACCCAAGAAGTCACAGAAGGACAAGCTCTCCTCGAAGTCCAGCAGGGTTGTCGTAAAGCCGAGCGTCCTTGAGACCAAGTCTGGGGCGGTTGGGGTCAAGGCTGAAACACCGGTTCTACCAGAGGAGAGGATGGAGCGTCCTCCGGAGGATCATGAGATACACACTCCCCTTCCGGTGGAAGAGGAGGCCCAGCAGCAGCAGCAGTCAACGTTAAATGAAGATGACGTCTTAGTTTAAGATCAAGTGAGCGGGTGTCAAAGGGGAGCAAAGGCGATAAATTATACAGTCACTAAGATAGATCAGAGTAGTTTCTCTTATCCTATTCTGGTCTTCCTTTGGTCACATGACTGAACATTCAAAAACAGAACTAATATTTAGTTTCTTTGAACTATTCTCTTTGACTTAGTTACACGATCAAAAGGGAATTTTAACTTGCACGGTATGGATTGTTGGGGCAATTACACGTCCCAATTAATAGCATAATAGTCGTTTGTCTATACCCCCCCCACCCCCCCCCCCGCCAACCCAATGTAAAAATGAAAAAAAATTACTGCAAACAGATTCCTTCTATGACCGTAGTGTTGAGCTGGAAGCGACGGTAGAGATGGTTGATCCTTGGCAAAACTTGGCATCAAGTTTACCAGGGTTTTTTTCANAAATCAGCTGGTACTGCTGGCACCCCCCCCCCCCCCCCCAAAAAAAAAATTTGAAGTACACCCCCCCAAGGAAAATTTCTAAAATAATCACTGATGTTTACTGCATTGCTAGTTTACAATTTCCTTCCATTGTTGTAATACAATAGTCATAATCAAAGTGACGCTGTTTGGCAATGAACTAATTATGTTCTACATAATTTATTTGCTTATTTTACTAACACAAAGTCATTGGTTGCCTGGCTGATGGGTGAGATGGGAGAACTATGACGTCATTCGATGCTGTAACACGTGACGATATTTTAACGCAGTTAATGTTGACTTTTGACTAAGTTTTTAACACGATATTTTATACGATGTATTCATAAATGATGTTATATACT